TTTCTCATTTTTATTTTTATATTTTTCTTCTTATTGTATATAAATTTATTTTTGTTTTAATGAACAAAGGAACTGAATTGAATTGAACTGAATTGAAAGTAGTGCATGTTAAAATGCTGTATTGAAAACAGTTTTTTTGAACTTAAAGAGTATTTTCTTCACGTCATGAAACAGATGAAGCGGTCTYGCTCTGCTTTCACCTGATCCTCTGCAGGTTTCTCCTGGGGGGTCGGCACCTCTGCCTATCAGACTGAAGGAGCGTGGAACGTCGATGGAAAAGGAGTCAGCATCTGGGATGTGTTTGCTCACCAGAAGGGAAAAATCCCCTCCAACCATWCAGGAGACGTGTCCTGTGAGGGCTACTACAAATTCAAGGTGTGAAATACTTCACTTTCTAGACGTGACTCATTGCTACACTTTAATATTCTAAACAAAAATGTGTTTTGTTGAATAAAACCAAACTATCTGAACTTTGTTTTTCATCTATAAACTGTGTAGTATTAGCTTCAGCTGAATTTCTCACCTGTTAGTGAATTTATTTTAGCAATTATTATTTAACCATGGAMGTCTCCTTAACTTTATGAACATTTATGTTACTTTAATGGCCTAAAAATAGTAATTCTTTGAAGCCTGAAATATAAATATCTAATTTAATTTAAACTCTTTAAAAATTGTTAGATGAAAAAACTCCACATTTCAATTTTACATTTCATTTTCTGTTTAAAGATTCAATTGTTTGGCAAAGAAATTAATGATATTTATTCCACTGATAAATTTTATGGCGTGATATGAGGGCCGAAATGACGACTAGTGCACAACCAGTAGTTGCTACATCCTTGTAGCAGGAGGCTACATCTATATCTAAGCCAGTTATTGATCTGATTATTGATAAGCTGACAGCGCTAACTGAGAGGCCAGCGCTGAAAAGGATACTATTCATTTTTATTAGTGTTCATTTGCTAGTTGCTAGCCTCTTTGATGCTAACGCCAGCTAATCCATGCTAGTTGCTAGCTTCTCCGATGCTAATGCCAGCTTATCCACGCTAGTTGCTAGACTTTTTGATGCTAATGCCAGCTAATTATGCTAGTCAATAGCCTCTCCAATGCTAATGCTTATCCATGTGAGTCGCTCTAACTCCAGCTTATCCATGCTGGTTGGTAGCCTCTCCAATGCTAACTCCAGCTTATCCATGCCGGTCACTAGCCTCTCCAATGCTAACTCCAGCTTATCCATGCTCGTCATTAGCCTCTCCAATGCTAATGCTTATTCATGTGAGTCACTCTAATTCCAGTTTATCCATGCTGGTTGCTAGCCTCTCCAGTGCTAACTCCAGCTTATCCATGCTCGTCGTTAGCCTCTCCAATGCTAATGCTTATTCATGTGAGTCGCTCTAATTCCAGCTTATCCATTGCTGGTCGTTAGCCTCTCCAATGGTAACTCCAGCTTATCCATGCTGGTCACTAGCCTCTCCAATGCTAATGCCAGTTTATCCATGCTGGTCGTTAGCCTCTCCAATGGTAACTCCAGCTTATCCATGCTGGTCGTTAGCCTCTCCAGTGCTGATTCCAGCTTATCTATGCTAGTCACTAGCCTCTCCGATGCAAATGCCAGCTTATCCATGCTAGTTGCTAGCCTTTTTGATGCTAATGCCAGCTAATTATGCTAGTCAATAGCCTCTCCAATGCTAATGCTTATCCATGTGAGTCACTCTAATTCCAGCTTATCCATGCTGGTCGTTAGCCTCTCCAGTGCTAACTCCAACTTATCCATGCTGGTAGCTAGCCTCTCCAATGCTAACTCCAGCTTACCCATGCTGGTCGCTATCCTCTCCAATGCTAACTCCAGCTTATCCGTGCTGGTCGCTAGCCTCTCCAATGCTAACTCCAGCTTATCCGTGCTGGTCGCTAGCCTCTCCAATGCTAACTCCAGCTTATCCATGCTAGTCACTTGCCTCTCCATAGCTAATTCAAGTGAATAGTCTCCTTCTCATTTGCCAGCTCTGGCATCTCTGTTAGCGGGGCCAGCTGCTCAGTTAGCGGTGCCGGACTATCATTAATCAGATCAATAGCTGGTTTAGGAATAGATATATCCTCCTGCTACAAGGATGTAGCAACCACTGGTTGTACAATAGTCTTAATTTTGACCCTCGTACCGCACCATAACATTTAACTTAAAAAGTACAAACTAAGATAGTGCCTCAGCTTGAATATTTAGTTTTAATTCATTTCTTTCTTTCAGGATGACATTAACCTGATGAAGGACATGAAGCTGAATCACTATCGATTCTCCATTTCCTGGCCGAGGGTTTTACCCAGTGGCTCAAAAAGTAAAAACTTAATTCTTATTATCCATCAAAACAACTGTTTAACTGTAGGAGTCAAGCCGATTCAAGATGGCCGCCACAGAAAATGCCAGTCAGTTTTACAGATATTGAGCTAAATGTTGGTGTGATTATTRCTGATTTACATCATATAGTCTCTGCTTTATATTATTTTCATGTTTTGACCAAAAACAGTTAAACTTCGTAACAGCTGAACACAGGATGAACTAGTGTAAACGTTAACGAAAACTAGTAGTCCATTTTAATAAGTATACTTGAGTATAAGTTTAAATATATCAAGTATACTAGGCACCATGTTCTTGTAGTGTACTAGAAAGCATTATATACTTGTTTGTACTAAATTGGGATATTTTTAGTTTGTACGTATACTTTTATAATGTTTCTAAATGTACCAAAAAGAAGTATACTTTAAGTACTTGTCATTAAGTATACTAAATATATACAAGTTTATGTCCCTAAGTGTACTTTTATGTACCATGTACAATGAAACAAGAAGACTAGCAGTTTACTAACAAGTATACTTCTAGGATTAAGTTGGCCCACAACAAGTTTACGAAAGTATACACAGAAGTACACTGAAAGTAATCTTCTACGTATTTAATCTTGAAATGTACTGCAGATAAACCAGTCGGTGTGAAAAGTGTACTACTTGGCCAAAACTTTAAACATTAGTGTAGACTAAGTATACTTATTTTTTAGTATACTTTTAGTACAAGCCAAGTATAATTTAAGATAAACTTGGTTAAGTATATCTCAGATAAGTACATAAAAAGTAAACTGGAAGTATACTTTTTTATTTTTAGTTTGAAATGAGTATAGGATACTTTTATATTCTACTTTTTGCTGAGGGAAACGCTGTTTGTGAATCTTGTTTTTAACGATAATTCCCTGCAGGCGAGCACATCAACGAGAAAGGAATCAAATATTACCARGACTTGATCAACATGCTCCTGGACAGTAAGATCACACCTGTGGTCACGCTGTATCACTGGGATCTGCCTCAGGTGAGCTCTGCAGGTGGGGTCAGAGGTCCTGGCGTTGATTGAACCCGACTCTTCTGGTTTCCTCAGGTGCTGCAGGAGAAATATGGTGGCTGGCAGAACAGCAGCATGGTGAGCTACTTCAACGAGTTCGCCAACTTGTGCTTTGAGCGTTTCGGGAACAAAGTGAAGCACTGGATCACCTTCAACAACCCGTGGGTCAGTCGGACACGACGCCTTCACCGCCTCTCATCTCTGACCTCTGCGCTGACCGTCACAGTTTTCTGTTTTCAGTCTGTTGCTGTGGAGGGATATGAAACAGGAGAACATGCTCCTGGGCTGAAGCTGAAGGGAACCGGAGCGTACAAAGCTGCTCATCACATCATCAAGGTGAGCTGACCAGGTGCTTTAGATTAGTCCCTGATGATGTCACCGCATGAAGGACAAACATGGTGGTCAGCTCAGGTTTAAAAACATAAAAATGTGTCCATTTCCAGTGTTTTTACTTCAGTTTTAAGACTTTTAACAGTTTTCACATCACKAAAAGATTGTTTGGGGAGTTGATGTAACTTAAAGAGCCTGTGACATCCCGGACGAGCCCCCAATTTGTTACGGCCTGGCTCTGGGGCCATAACAAATAAAGGGAAGCAACGCATTGGAAAAATTTAAAATTAAATTTATTTAACAAAAATCATGGTTGGCTGGAGAAAAAAAGAGCAACAAAAGGAGAAGCCTCGCCCTGAGAGCCAGCAGCAGCTCTTCAACTGGATCTCAAGCTCTTCTAGACACTGGCCAGCTGCCTCCAGTTGCAATCAGCACCAATCAGGAACTCTGAAACACACAGGTGTTCGAGAAAGACACAGAGGAAAGGGCTTGGGCCGTAACACATGCATGTCCATGAAATACAAAAAGTCAAAGAAAATATATTTATATTTAAGAGACTTGACATAATACACATGATTTTACCTGTTATGTCACATAATTGGCATATTTTCTTTTGAATTTGGCTCAGCTAAAGTCAAACAGGAAGTGACATCAAAGGGGAACTTTTTGATAAATTAAACTCCCTGGTCTTTGTTTATTTACATAATATTATTTGAACTTTGACATTTTCTTATCTCTCTATGATAGTGAAAAAATAATCTAAAGAAACATCAGATTCTTCTCTACAGTTTGAGTTGTTAGCCATTTTAGTTCACATGCAGACATTCCCCTCTGACATCACTTCCTGTTACTTCACATGCAAATATCTCAACAACTGTTCATCTCAGTGGCTTGAAATCTTTTTTACAATGTGTTATCAGTGTTATCTTTCCAAAAAAACGTTCATAATTAATATAAAAATTTGATGTCACAGGCACTTTAAACTCATCAGGGTTTCGTATCATCTCTGTTAGGAAACAGCAAATATTCCTTGGCTCTGTTAACAACCACAGTTATGATCATTTCGTTCAGCACAGAACGTTCAGGTGGACTCAGGTGGAAGGAAGCTGTTCTGACAGCAGCTTTGATGTGGAGTTAAAGACTGAAACATTCAAATGTTCTAAACGTTCAACAAACCTGAAAACTGTGTTGTTTTTAACAGGCTCATGCTAAAGTCTGGCACACGTATGACATGAAGTGGAGGAGCAAACAGAAAGGTGAAGAAAATATCACTACATTCATTCATTCATTCATTCATTCATTCATTCATTCATTCATCCATTCATCCATCCATCAACCTTCCATCCATCCATCCATCCATCCATCAACCTTCCATCCATTCATCAACCATCCATCCATCCATCCATCCATTCATTCATCCATCCATCAACCTTCCATCCATCCATCCATCC